TGATCGCTATCCACACCCCCGCTGTGATCTTCTTCACTAGAATACGGTGATGCCAGAACATGCCTCCCTCATCATTGGGATAGTGCACGAGTACTTGGGGTTCTGGGATGTCTAACGTGTCCATTGTGAGAACCGACAGTCACTAGAGAAGCCGAGCCCGACGAGCCGCCAAGCACTTCACGAATACGGCTGAGCAACCCTCGAAGGACTCCAAAGGCCAGCACCGCGGCCCAACTCACCACAACGCCGATGAGAATGCCCACCGTCAGCCAGAAAGCCCAGGCGCACGGGGTCGAAGGTGCCGTCGACGGGCACTCGGTCACCTCGGGCTGCCTCCCACAGCTCAGAGCAGGGCAGCCTGGGCAAGGCGGGCACGACCCGCAAGTGACTGCGGCTGACGCGGGGCAGGCTGGCACCGCGGGACAAGGAGGAGCTGCTGGGCACCTGCTGAGGTACGAAAGCAGGCCGTTGACAGCTAAATCTTGGAGACGCTGCTGCCACATCGGCCCTCAAGACTTGAGCGAAATAGTTACAGACAGGCAAGCTGACAGAGGCGGGCCTCAACGAAGCGAGAGATATAACAATCAAAGATTAAAAATTAGCATTATTAATACTATTATTATTATTTTTAACATTATTAATATTATTATTATTATTATTATTATTAGTAGTAGTATTATTATTAGTATTATTACTATTATTATTATTATTGTTAGTAGTAGTAGTAGTATTCGTATTATTAATATTATTACTATTATTACTATTACTATGATTATTATTAATAATATTATTATTATTATTATTGTTCGTAGTATTAATAAAAATAATATTATTATTCCTCCTCCTCCTCCTCCTCCTCCTCCTCCGCCTCCTCCTCCTCCTCCTCATCCTCATCCCTCCTCCTCCTCCTCCTCCTCCTCCTCCTCCTCCTCCTCCTTCACCCCCCCCTCCTCCTCCTCCTCCTCCTCCTCCCTCCTCCTCCTCCTCCTCCTCCTCCTTCTGCAGCTCCACTCCAGCTCCCCCTCCTCCACCTCCTCCTCCTCCTTCCTCCTCCTCCTCCTCATCCTCCTCCTCCTCCTCCTCCTCCTCCTCCTTCTCCTCCTGCTCGTCCTCCTCCTCCTCCTCCTCCTCCCTCCTCCTCCTCCTCCTCCTCCTCCTCCTACCTCCTCCTCCTCCTCCTCCTCCTCCTCCTCCTCCTCCTGCTCCTCCTGCTCCTCCTCCTCCTCCTCCTCCTCCATCTCCTCCTGCATCCTCATCCTCATCCTCATCCTCCATCCTCATCCTCTCCTCCTCTTCCTCCGCATTCTCCTCCTCCTCCTCCTCCCTCCTCCTTCTCCTCTCCTCCCAGTCTTCCTCACTCTCCTCCGGGTCCTCCTCCTCCTCCTCCTCCTCCTCCTCCTCCTCCTCCTCCTCCTCCTCCTCCTCCTCCTCCTCCGGCCGCTCCCCCCCGCCTCCCACCCAAACCTCCGACGACTCGATCTTTCCGAGTCGCTGGGCCCCGGGCCTCTCGACCCTCTTTGAGAGCTGGGTCGCGCTCTGACAGCGCCGTGGTCCTCGGCCTGCGGACAAAAGGCGAGCATGCAGAAGGACCTCAGCCTCGAGATCTTCGAGCCTGGGTCCCCTCCCTCCCTCGTCCTCCTCGCTCCTCCATGCCGCACGTCCTCGTCCCCCACCCTGCTCGAGGCAGGCTCCGGCTATGGTCTGCTCATCCGTCCTTCCCGCCTGCCTCCCCGACAGAAGAGGGTCAGCCGAGACCAACTGGCGGTCCCTTCGAACAAGGAGGGCGCGAGGGAGGTGGAGAAGGCAGGGAGGAGCAGGAAGAGGGAGGGAGGAAGAGGGAGCAGGGAGGTGGGAAGCCTTAGTATCCTCCTCCTCCTCCTCCTCCTCCTCCTCCTCCTCCTCCTCCTCCTCCTCCTCCTCCTCCTCCTCCTCCTCCTCCTCCTCGTCTTGCCTCCATCGAAGGAGGCATTTGAGACATCGCCGGCCCACCAGGACGACGAGGCGGTCCACGAGGGAGCGAGGGACAGAAGAAGGGGGTACGAGGAGAGATGCCAGCCTTCGCACGTGAAGAGAGAGATTTAGGTGAAGGAAGAGAGGAGGGGGAGGAGGAGGAGGAGGAGGAGGAGAGGAGGAGGAGGAGGATGAGGAGGAGAGAAAGGAGGAGGAGGAGGAGGCGGAAGAAGGAAGAGGAAGAGGAAGAGGATGAAGAGGAGGAGAGGAGGAGGAGGAGGAGGAAAAAAGGGGGGCATGATGGAGGAGGGAAGGGAAAGGACCTCCTCCTCCTCCTCCTCCTCCTCCTCCCTCCCCTCCTCCTGCTCGTCCTCCTCCTCCCTCCTCCTCCTCCTCCTCCTCCTCCTCCTCTCTTTCTCCTCCTCCTCCTCCTCCTCCTCCTCCTCAATCATCATCACATCCAGCAGCAGCAGCAGCATCATCATCATCATCATCAGCGGCGCAGCAGCAGCAGCAGCATCATCATCATCATCATCATCATCATCATCATCATCATCATCATCATCATCATCATCATCATCTCTCATCATCATCATCATCATCATCCATCATCATCATCAGGCATCAGCATCAGCATCAGCATCATCATCATCATCATCAGCATCATCATCATCATCATCATCATCATCATCATCATCATCATCATCATCATCATCGTCATCATCATCATCCTCCAGCTCCTCCAGCTACTCCTCCTCCCCCTCCTCCTCCTCCTCCAGCTCCAGCGCCTCCTTCTCCTCCTCCTCCTCCTCCTCCTCCTCCTCCCTCTTGCCTCTCTCTTGTCATAATCCTCCTGCCTCATCTTCAACTTCAAACTCCTCCTCCACCCAGCCTCCCCCTCATCCTCCTCTCACTTTTCCTCCGTTTCCTCTCCTCCCTCCTCCTCCTCCTCCTCCTCCTCCTCCTCCTCCTCCTCCTCCCTCCTCTCCTCCTCCTCCTCCTCCTCCTCCTCCTCCTCCTCTTACTCCTCCTCCTCCTCCCTCCTCCTCCTCCTCCTCCTCCTCCTCCTCCTCCTCCTCCTCCTCCTCCTCCTCCTCCTCCTCCGCATCCTGGAGATGATGTTCCTGGGCCTGTTTCGTCTGGGGGCATCGTGGTGGAGTGGGTTGGAGAAGCCGGAGATCTCAATACCGACGTCCAGGGTGATATTTTCGCCGACGGATCCTGCACGAGACGTGTCATATCAGAGCTTAACCGCGCTGGTTGGGCCTTCAGTGTTTGGTGTCGTGCCACAGGTCTCGAGAAACTCAGGGTTCGGGGGCCAGTCTGGGCACCTTGTCCCCAGACGCCCCAGGCGGCCGAGTTTTATGCATACAGCGTCGCTTGTCAGTGGTCAAATGGCTCTAGCGAGCTGTTCCTGGATTGCCAGAATTGCATTGATTTCCACGCTTTGCCATTTGACGCCCAGTGCTCTCCCAAGCGTACATTTTCGGGGGTTGCCCAATTTTGTAGGCCTTTTGCACACCAGTGCTCTGTCAGGAAAGTGAGGGCTCACCAGGACATCAGCTCGTGCGATGATGACTGGGCGCGTTATTGCTGCGAAGGTAACTGCGCGGTCGACGCCTCGGCCAAGCTCGCAGTGGCCTCGCACCCCTCTCCGGATCCAAAGTATGCGGAGATGATCGATCAGGACATTTCGGTTGCGAAGGCTGTCAGCGTTTTGGCGGCCAACCTGTTGCCGTCCTGGCCTCGCCTTGTTATGGGTCCGGGTGTGGAGCGCACGCCAGATCCGCCCAAACCTGTTTCTACTCCTCAGCGCCCGCCCCATAAATGGTGCTGGGTCGGCTCTTTTTGGCAGTGCTGCGAGTGTTTGCGCGGGCGTCGAGGCAAGCCAAGCTCACCCCCTGTGGGTGGAGCGTGCTCCCTGTCCTTACGAGTGCAGCCTGAGGCTTTGCGAGCCCTCGGCCACCGTTGTATTGTAGTCGACTGTTCCGACGGGTCTTTCTTGTGCATATGCCAAAGATGCAGCTATATGACCTCTGGCGCTCGGCTTGCCAACTTTGGCAAGAAGTGTGAGCCTCAGAAGGTCGCTACGCACATGAACCCGTGGTCCAAACTCCAACGCGGGCTCCACCCTTCGGTCAAGAAGCGTGGGGTTACAATAGACGTGGACACTTTATGCCCGATGTATGCGCTTCAGGCGCATGCTGTTGCGCCCCCCCCTGTGCCAAGGTGCCAGGTGGAACTTGGGGGCCAGCGCTCTGAAGGGCGCCTTCGTGCTCGTCTGGAGGTGGAGGGTGGCCGTCGGTTGCACAGTGCACCCAGCCTTGCTGGACCCAGCGAGGGAGAGCCAGAGTGCCAAGTCGAGCCTGGGGACCAGGCCCAGCTGGAGATCCGCAGGCTAGATGATGAAGAGGAGGATACTGCTCTGTTTCTCGCGGCCTCCGTCGGTTCGGCGGCGCCTGCTGCGAGCCATGGTTCAGAATAGGTTCTAACCCTGTGCTCTCAGCTTATGTGTTGTTTGTTTCATTTCTTTCCCCTGGGGTGGAATCGCCCGCCCCCCATGGTGTACGTGGGCAGCTGGCAGCCGTTGATGGCAAAAAAATCCTCCTCCTCCTCCTCCTCCTCCTCTTTCTCCTCCTCCTCCTCCTCCTCCTCCTCCTCCTCCTCCTCCTCCACCTCCCTCTTCTCATTGTTCCAATTATGGTTGCAATTGCCCGCTACTCCTTTCTCCTCCTCCGGATCCTCCTCCTCCCCCTCCCCCACCTCCTGCTCTACATCTCTACATCCGGATGACCCATCTACGTAGCCTGCTGCTGAGCAAGACGCGGGCAACGACGACGCCGCCGTCGACGCCCTCTCGACCTACAAATTGCCCATCTGCGTACCCCCTCGCTGGGCAAGATGCGGGCGACGACGACGACGACGACGACGACGACGACGACGACGACGACGACGACGACGACGACGACGGCGCCACAAGCCGCTGCCGACCCCGCCCGCGGGCCGACGACGGCGGCGGCGAGGCGTCCCGCCGATACTGGGCGCCGCGC